GAGCATAACCGCCGGATTATCCTTCGTGTGGACTTTCACAAGTTCCACATCGCCATCTTCAAGAACATCCCGAACGAAGTGATAACGAACGTCAATGTGCTTCGTCCTCGCATGAAAAACCTGATTCTTCGCCAAATAGATAGCACTCATGCTATCACAATGAATAGTGACGGACCTCTGCGATATACCAAGTTCCTCCAAAAGTCCTCAAAGCCAAATAGCCTCCTTCACAGCCTCCGTAACTGCCATATACTCTGCCTCTGTCGTAGACAAAGCCACCGTCGACTGTAAGGTACATCTCCAACACACCGGCACACGGGTCAAAGTGAACACATACCCCGTCGTAGACCGGCGCTTATCCAAATCCCCGGCATAATCCGAATCAACATAGCCAATGCATAGATACCCACCTGTAGTGTCCCGCTCATAAACCAAACCAACATTGAGCGTACCTCGAATGTACCTCAAAATCCATTTCACAGCGTCCCAATGACCCACTCCTGGATCATGCATGTATCTTGATACCATGCTTACTGCCTGTGAAAAATCTGGCCTCATACATACCATCGCGTACATCAAGCTCCCAACCGCACTCGCATATGGAGTCTTCGACATCAACTCTCGATCTTCAACTGACTTCGGTGAAAGACTAGCTGAAAGCTTCAAATGGGCTCCCCAAGGTACACCAACTGGCTTCGTATCCATGCTAACATGGAATCGCTGTAGAACCTTCTTCAAATAAGCCACCTGTGTCAAACAAATTCTGCCCTTCTTCTTGTCTCTGCCGATCTCCATCCCTAGAATGCGCTTCGCCTCACCCAAGTCTTTCATCTCAAACTCATTTGAAAGCTGAACTTTCAACTCATCTATAGCCGACCTGGAAATAGAGGCAACCAACATGTCATCGACATAGAGCAACAAATAAATATACGCACCTCCTTTCAACTTGCGAAAATATACGCAAGGATCAAACTGGCTCCGAGTGTACGAATGACCAAGCATAAAACCATCAAATCGTCTATACCACTGTCGAGGAGACTGTTTCAAACCGTATAGCGATTTTTTCAATTTGCAAACCAATTTATCTTTCCCTGCAGCTCGGAATCCCAATGGCTGAGTCATATATATTTCTTCATCAAGATCACCATGAAGAAATGCCGTCTTCACATCCAACTGATCTAACTCCAAACCATACTGTGCCACCAAAGCTAGCAAAATCCGAATCGAAGAGTGCTTCACCACCGGAGAGAAAACATCATTATAGTCAATACCTTCCTCCTGTGCATAGCCCTTCGCAACCAACCTAGCTTTGAACCTCAATGGAGTGCCCTCAATGCCCTCCTTCTTCGTGTATACCCACTTGCAACCAATTGCCTTCCGCCCCTTTATAAGCTCAACAAGCTCCCATGTATCGTTTTTATGAAGAGATTCCATCTCCTCCTGCATAGCCACATGCCACGAATCAGCCTCCGAACTCTGCTCGGCCTCTCTGAATGTAGTAGGTACCAACTCATCGATACTCTCCATCGGAAGTGCATACGCAACTGTGTCGGCATACCGTGCTGGCATCTGTATGTTTCTCCTCTGTCTCCGAACCGTAATAGAATCCTGAACCTGAGCCGTCGGTTCCTGATCCTGCACATTTGTACTCGTATCCTCCGTGTCATCGTCGTGCTCGCCTGGTGTCACCTCAGTCGGCACCTGCATGGATACTGTACCATCTGGACGATGTGGAGCTGCATCAATCTCCACCACCTGTGATATCTCCTCCGTCAGGTCGTTCTCCACCTGATGAGAGCTTGGAAGCTTCAAGATAGAAGCCTCATCGAATGTGACATCCCTACTCAGCACAATCTTCTTATCCACTGGATCCCAAAGCTTGTATCCCTTGACACCACGCTTGAATCCTACAAATATGGCCTTCCTAGCTCGAGGTTCTAATTTTTCAGTTCTAACATGATAATATGCAGGGCACCCAAATACCTTGATCCGGTCATAATTATGTGCTGGCTTTCCCGACCATATCTCCATAGGGGTTTTCCCCTCAATCGCAGATGAAGGCAGCCTATTAATGAGGTGATTCGCATATGTAAGTGCCTCAGCCCAAAAGATCTTCTCCAAACCACTCTGCGACAATAAGCATCGGATCTTCTCCAGTAAAGACCGATTCAACCTCTCTGCCACCCCATTTTGCTGCGGTGTATGACTAACTGTGAAGTGTCTCTCTATGCCCTCGTCTCGACATAGCTGCTGAAAGGGGTCAGAAGTATACTCACCACCGTTGTCGGATCGCAACGTCTTGATCTTTCTCCCAGTCTGCAGTTCCAATCTCTTCTTCCACTCCACAAACAAATCTAGGACTTCGCTCTTCTTCGTCATGGTGTACACCCAACAACGTCTAGAATAGTCATCTACAAAAGTGACGAACCAATGTCTACCATCAAGTGATGCAGTCTTGGTGGGACCCCAAACGTCTGTATGCACGTAGTCTAGGATGCCTCTCGTCTGATGAATGGCAGTCCCGAACTTTACCTTCGTCTTCTTGCCAAGAACATAGTGCTCACAGAAGTCAATCTTCCCACTCTTGGCTCCCTTCAATAGCCCCTGCTTGCACAATGCCTGCAGTGACTTTTCACCTGTGTGCCCCAACCTATAGTGCCAAAGTCTACTCATGTCCGCTTCTAAAATAGCCGAAGCAACCTGGCCAATCTCGGTGCTTCCCTTCAGATAATATAAATTCCGATTGCGGACTCCCCTCATCACCACCAATGATCTCTTAGTAACCGTCGCTACAGTGTTTTCGAAAGTCACCTTGAATCCTTTTGCCTCCAAAGCTCCAACTGAGATAAGATTTTTCTTCAGTTGAGGAACAAATCTCACCTCCTTCAACTCACGGACTACTCCATCGTGCATCCTAACCCGCATGGTACCTATCCCACAAACGCTATAGGATTGATCATTTCCCATGACAACAACACCCCCGTCGACTTTCTCAAAAGATGCAAACCAGTCTCGCCTAGGGGTCACATGAAAAGTAGCGCCGGAATCAAGCATCCAATCTGATGCATCCACATGGTTCACCTCCGGAGTAATCAGTAGAGAAAAGCACGAATCATCGGAATCATCGCCTTTCGCAATGTTCACCTCATTGGCCTTCGGGCCCTTTTTCTTGCCATTCTCTTTCTCCTTGAGCTTCGGGCAGTCTCTCTTCCAATGTCCCTGCTCCTTGCAGAATGCACATTGGTTCTTTGTTAATTGGTGGCGGCCTCTAGACTTTGACCTTCCTCTATTACCACCTTTCGGATATGGGCTTCTACCTCTCGTCGACAAGGCCTCTCCTGAAGTACTAGCGCGGGAAGTCTCCTTGTCCTTCCTCCTCAAATCATAGTTGGTCAATGCGTTAGTCACTTCACTATAACTGATAGAAGATCTCCCGTTCAACAAAGTGAGCACGAAGGTATCATACTCCTCATCCGGTAAGGAGCCCAACAAAATAATCGCCTTGTACTCATCCGATATCTTCTCATCAACATTCGCCAAGTCCGACAACAACTTCGTATAGTTGTTCACATGAGCCGCAAGCGAGGTGCCTCTGGATTTCAGTTCCTGTTCCAAACAGGACCTGATCACCCCACACGCGTTCCTATTCATCTTATCCCATACCGCCTCTTCATATTTAGGTGGCCTCTCGTGGACCATGATGGTCTCTTTCAAATTCTGAGCATTGAGCGCATCCTGTACGTCGCTTATCCACAAACCAAAGTTGATTTTGCCGTCATACTTCACCACACTAATTTTAGTGTTCTGAAAACGAACTTGTATTGTACTCGCCATCGATTTGCTGCTTTCACCTTCTTCTCCCATTGCGAACTAACTCCAAAATTGTAGAGAAAGAACAAATTTGATAGAAATTAGGAACCACCCAACTGAACCCTAGATCGGATTCCAAATAGATCTCCTATCCACACGAGGAAAGCGCAATCTCCAACGGCAACTCCTAATGCTATCTCCACCGAAGCCGAGAACTCCAAGAACCAAGCTTCACACAAAATCTTCCTCCACCAAAAAACTTCCTCTCATCAGTTCTAGGACTGACCTGTCGAGGGATCCTAAAAGCTATTACAAATCACACAAAAGTAGTACAACCAATTTTTACGTGGTTCGGCAAATTGCCTACGTCCACGGGGCAAGGAGGGGAGATCTACTAATAGAGGGAGAGAATACAACTAGGGTTTACAATCACTCACAAACTAAACCCTCAAACAAACTCTCAAATCCCTCACACAAATATCTCTCAAAGGAGATGCACAAAACCCTAACAAATACACAAAAGAACTGCACACAAAATCTCAAAGTCGGAGACGTGTCTCCTTGCTACAGTCCTTTTTTATTTTCTCCTGCTTTGATTTTTCTTCTGCCGAAAAGCAACCTAAGCCTTCAGCCGCAATAAAAAAAAACAAATCTCCTTGCGCCAACATCACACGAAACCCTAGGAAGCTATTTATAGCTTCGTCCGGTCAAATAGCGGAAACAAATCTCGTTTCCGCGTCAATCACGTGGTGGTGCGGCCCACCTCAAAGCCGCGTTCACAATCTACTGGATTATTATTGGATGGTTTTTTACCTTTTTCCCCCCACAGCAGCGAGGACTTATATTGTGACTGCAAGTAATACTAGATTGTAATTCTTTTTTCTTAGTTGGGGTACGTAGTCCTTTATATATTTATATCTATTTCGGAATCATTTTCACGCTAAGGTGTGGATATGAGTATTTGGATACAGTGTATTTCCAACTATGAATATGTTTTATGTTTTGTCATTTTTCTTTTTTCTTGAGATCGAAACAAATGCGTGTTTAATTTCATCTACATATTTGTATCTCTCTAGTTCGTATCTTGTTTCATTATTATCTTCTCAATGGAACTCTGGGTGCTTAGAACTTGCTGTTTCTCTAAAACAGACTTAGAGATGGAAACCACATGATTGTGATTTGCCAAATTTTGATCCGGAAGTATTTTTGGATGTGATGAAAGATGAGGTTTTTGCCTCCGTTGGCGACTCTCTTGGTCGCAATCAGATGGAATCGGTTATGTGTCTACTTGCAAAGGCATAAAATCCGTCCAAAAATGCCAGATTCACAAAAACCATATGCAAAACAATTTGACTCTGTTTTAACATTTGTCAGTGAATCTAATCAGGTTGAGGAACTTAAGTGGTATCGAGACGCGACATTTCACACTACAGCTTGGTATTTTTCGTCGTATAACTTCACTGTTGCTTTCATTTGGTCTCCTTTTCTTGTGCAACCCGAAACTCCTACAGTAGATACTCACTCAGTGAGGCCTATACGCCTACATCTCGATATTCCTGACAACGTTTGGGTGAATCGATATCATGAATTCGACTATGTACTAATTGGTGACGGAGCTGGTTTGATCAGCCTACAATACTATTGGAGAACAGCACTATCGTTGGTTGTCACAAGTGTAAATTAGATAATGTTCCTCAAACTGGGATATGTTACGTTTACCACAGAGCTATGGAGTTAGCTTTCAATTTTATGATTGCATCTGCGCACAAACCACTAGTGATTTATAGAACTCATAGCCCGAATCATTTTGAACGTGGAGATTGGCAACATGGTGGGTATTGCAATAAAACATTGCCATATAAAGAAGGTGAATTTGATGGTAGTGAGCAGGATCAAGAGCTTCAAGCTATCGGTAGAGAGGAGTTTATGAAGGCTGTAGAGATGGCTAGAGTTAATATATATGAACCCGATTCATTTGGAGATGTTGGATGTTTACCATCTCTCGTTGCCTCGACCAGATGGGCATCCAGATAAATACAGAGGGGTCGAAGGGACTGCCCATGACTGCCTGCACTGGTGCTTGCCCGGTCCAGTCGACGCTTGGAATGATTTGATGATGGCGATGATACTCAGGCACGAGGACCTCCTATTGAGACGTTCAACCCTTAATATTGTTAGTGTATGAGAATGTAGCTAATAACTCCTCTTCTTATTACATTTGTGTCTGTTTTCATCTTTGATTGAAACATTTACGGATATAGTAAGGATATTACTGAATATGAATGGACTAACGAACAAAAAATGACAAATGTTTTATATGTACTTGCACATGTTGCGCGCCTATGCGGAAGCGTTGCACGCACACACAACGTACTTGAGATCACGGAAGAAGAAAGCCACACACTTGCACAAACCAAGCCAATTACGACAAATCAAACCAAACACAGAGATATACGTGGTTCGGCAATTGCCTACGTCCACGGGGAGAGGATGGGGAGATTTCACTATATGGAGAAGAAATACAACGGGTTACAACTCACAAAATCACTCAAATATAACCCTAACCAAAGCTCTCAACTCCCTCACAATATCTCCTCTCAAAGTGCTCATGTAGAACCCCGAAATTCTTTTATATGAATATATATGAATTATTAGTAAATAAATAATTCTTTTATGATAAATAACTTGAGGTCATTGATGTACATGATAACAAGTTATTTGAGATGATATGAGAGTATGGGTGTAGAGTTTTGTGTGTTGGTTTTGCAAATAAGCAAAACATGCACAAAAACTGAAAATGTCCAGATCAGTCGACACATCAGTCGACTGACTGTATCAGTCGGCACATCAGTCGACTGATACGCTGATTTCCAATTTTTCAGGTTTCGGGTCTGTTTTGATTTGGTACGGGTTTGGGTCGGGTTTAACCGTTGGTATATATCCCCTCTCACCCGAAAACACCCCCTCTCATCCTCAGTTCAGAGAAACCCTAGCCCTCTCTCTCCTCTCTCAAACCCTAGCCTTGTTCTTGGTGATTTGGGGAAGGAATCGGAGGATTTTCGGCGGGATTTTTAGTTTGCAGCGAAAGGAATCACTCCCCCTCAGATCCAGGAGCTCTTCATCACCTCAGAGGCGAGTAACATCTCGCCCAACCTTGTCCCATTCTCTTTAAATGTTTTCAAATGGTTTTATTGAGATCTCTTTGGCCTAAAACTATTTTTGTGTACAAAGATTGGATTTTTATTGCATATAACATGAAGATGTGCATTTTCAGTTTGATAAATAACCTACTAATGTTTTGTGAATTTAAAATCCAGATCTGAAATGTTTTATAAGAGATTTAACATGGGTTGCCTAAAAAGGGATTTTTAAAACATAAATACACATGTTTAGAGTTTTGTTTATGTATTTGTACATGAAAGTTATGTTTTAGTTAGTTCATACATGTTAATATACGTATGGTACATGCTTGGGATTGATGGGGATGTGTTTAGATCAGTTTTGAGGTGAAAAACAACTATGGTACATGCTTGGGATTGATGGGGATGGGTTTAGATCAGTTTGAGGTGAAAAACAACCTGAGCAGAGTTTCTGCAGGCCATCGGTCGACTGATCAGTCGACCGACGGGCAAATTTTTAGTCATCAGTCGACTGATCAGTCGACTGACGGGCTGGTTGTGTTTTCTCAGCTTCTCGGTCAACTGGTCAGTCGACTGGTGAGCTGAGGCTATGCTGCCTGAGCTTCATCAGTCGACATATGAGTCGACTGACGTCATCAATCGACACATCAGTCGACTGATGAGCTGTTTTACAGATTTTTGATCTGTTTAAGTTGTCTTTCGGGGTCGCCGCTCGATAGCCTGACCCTAGCTTATCATGTAAATGATTGTATCTATACATGTGGAGATTGAATTTTTGACATGAGTTTAACATGTACACCGAGATGCGTGCAAGTTAGATTTTGTATATCTGTTGCGATACACTTTTCAGTGCACGAGTCCTCGTGTTGGACATAATCCATAGAAAGTCCTCGTGTTGGACTTATAATCCATTTCAGTCCTCGTGTTGGACATTTATCACTTAATCTATGAGTTTGAAAAGCTACGACATAAAACAGTTCCTGATTTGGACATAGTTCTTAACCCTGCATATGACTTCTTCACAAGAAGTTCACGACATGATGTTGACATGAGACTTATGCAAGTAGTAATATGACATTCATGTTAGCTATGGTATGGCACTGTAATTTTGTTCTGAGATTAGCTGTATTTCTTGATTTATTGATTCTGTAATAGAACTCGGGTTTGGTGTTTAGAGATTTACAATTTGAGATACAAGGTATATACATGAGGGTTTCCTTGTTTGGATTATTTCGCTCGACGTACCTATGCTCGTTTGTAAATTTTCTAAATACTAAAACCCTCTTTAGTAGGATCAATGATTTTAGATCTATATATATTATCAGTATTTTCTTATAGCAACGAGCCCTATTCCCTTGGGGTTGGTTGATGTGTTCTCGCTAGCGCTTTGACGCTCGTTGTCCCTCCCCTTTCAGTAACGAGCGTGAGCCGGAGAGTCGCAGGTTTTGATGGCGACATATCTTAGTGTTTAGCTGTCTATTCTTGTTCATGTTGGAGCTCCACTGTAGTTTTTATTAGACACTGATAGTATTGTTCTAGAAGTTGTAAAGGCTGTGTGCCTTATTTCCTTCTTGCGAGACATTTGTATATGAGACTTGTTGAGTATTCCAGATTTATCTACTCAGATCTTGACTATGTATTTCTGTATTGTTGGATGATGAGATATTTAGTGACTGTTATCATTTCATCAGTATTTTTGTATAATCTTTACACTGTTTTGTACCTACACCCAGTTATTGATTCTACTAGATAGATGTTATTGTGAAGGTGAAACATGTTATTGCACTTTGTGTGTGGTGCATAACAGGTTTGACATTCTTGGTTTCACCTTGGACTGCAGCCTTGTGTGAACCAGGGGCGTCACAGCTCAAAACAATGGCTAATTCTCTCCTTTTTCTCTCCTTAAGAAACCCTACAAAACGTCGGGTCCTATTTATAATAAAACACAATCCCAAACAAAGAAGGATTCCCATACAAAAGGGATTCTAAAACGAGTCTGCCACACTCTTCACCAATGGGTGTAGCAGAGGGGTGTGCGTGCAGGACAGATTCTGCCACACCCTGCACCGGGGTGTGGTAGAGGGTGTGGTGCGAGGACAGATTCTACACAGCACCCAGTGCAGACACCACACCAGGGTGTGGTAGAGCTCTGTTTTGGGTTATTCTTCACATTTTTCACAATTCCTTCGCCGTTTTCACAAATTACAATTCTCCACCTCGGCGAAGGTTCCCAACACTAGAGCCGACACCAACATGGAGCACCAATGTTTGTCGTCTCTCTAACTCTGCGCTGCACCAATGTGATTGCCTACGTACCCTCTCCCAAGGGATCAAGCCGCCCGTAGTTCATCCAAATGACTGTCAACGGCCTCAACAATCACGAATGTGCAACAAGTTCGACAATGATCAAACTTGTTGCTCGGAACCACCTTAGTGGCATATCTGCCGGATTATCCTTTGTGTGGACTTTCACAATCTCCACAATCCGCCATCTCAAGAACATCCGAACGAAGTGATAACGAACGTCAAATGTGCTTCGTACCTCGCATGAAAAACCCGATTCTTCGCCAAATAGATAGCACTCATGCTATTACAATGAATGAGTGACGGACCGGCTGCGATATACCAAGTTCCTCCAAAATCATCGAAGCCAAATAGCCTCCTTCACAGCCGTCCGTAACCGCGCTATATACTCTGCCTCCGTCGTAGACAAAAGCCACCGTAGACTGTAAGGTGCATCTCCAACACCGGCGCACGGGTCAAAGAAACACATATCCGTAGTAGACCGACGCTTATCCAAATCCCCGCATAATCCGAATCAACATATCCAATGCACAACTGCCACCTGCTGTAGTGTCCCGCTCATAAACCAAACCAACATTGGAGCGTACCTCGAATGTACCTCAAAATCCAATCTCACAGCGTCCCAATGACCAACTCCTGGATCGTGCATGTATCTCGACACCATGCTCACCGCTGTGACAAATCCGGCCTCGTACATACATCGCGCTGTACATCAAGCTCCCAAACTGCGCTCGCATATGGAGTCTTCGTCATCAAACTCATGGTCTTCAACTAACTTCGGTGAAAGGCCACTGAAAGCTTCAAATGGGCTCCAAAGGTACACCAACTGGCTTCGTATCCATGCTAAATGGAATCGCTGTAGAACCTTCTTCAAATAAGCCACCTGTGTCAAATAATCTCGCCCTTCTTCTTGTCTCTACGATCTCCATCCCTAAAATGCGCTTCGCTCGCCCAAGTCCTTCATCTCAAACTCATTCGAAAGCTGAACTTTCACTTATCTATAGCTGACCTGGAACTAGGAGGCAACTAACATGTCATCGACATAAAGCAACAAATAAATGTACGCACCTCCTCTCAACTTGGTGAAAATACACGCAAGGGTCAAACCTGGCTCCGATGTACGAATGACCAAGCATAAAACCATCGAATCGCTATACCACTGATCGAGGAGATTGCTTCAAACCGTATAACAATTTCTTTAACTATGCGAACAACTTATCTTTCCTGCAGATCGGAAATCCAATAGCTGAGTACATATATATTTTTCCATCAAGATCCAACCTATGAAGACAAATGCCGTCTCACATCCCAGCTGATTAAAACTCCAAACCATACTGTGCCAACCAAAGCAGGCAAAATCCGAAATCGAATGAGTGCCTCACCACCGGGAGAGAAAAACCTCAATTGTAATCAAACCTTCCTCGCTGTGTATAGGCCCTTACGCAACCCACCTAGAGCCTTGAATCTCACCTGGAAGATCCATCAATGCCCTCCTTCTTCGTGTAACACCCACTTGCACCCAATCGGCCTTTCCCCCCTTGGGAAGCATCATACTACTTCTGCCATGTACGTCTTTGAAGGGAACTGCCATAACTCTTCCTGCGCAATAGCCCCTTGCTACGAATCAGCCTCCGAACTCTGCTGGTTACTCTCTGAATGTAGTAGGCACCATCTCATCGATACTCTCCACGAAAGTAGCATATACAACAGTGTCGGGCATACCGGCTGGGCACCGTATAGT